ATTATCAGATTATCGAAGTGATTGTTGATTAGCTAATTATTTTCGTAAGTCTTTCTTAACATGTTTTCATTCTTCATTACTGGTTGTTCTCGTGAAAGCATGAGTGGTTAAATACCACGACTGGGGTTGTGGGATCCACGACGAAATTCTAGTTACGATTCCGTAAAACGAGTAAAGGGCAATCTGTGTTTACAATCTGTAGTTTTAGCTTTCGATATTATTATAATCAAGTGAGTGCACGTATTAGATGAGCCTGTATCTGGTATTTGTTCGAGAGAAAAATACCAGTTAGGAAAAAGTTGAACTAAATTAACAAATTAGAGTTAAAATTTGAGTTCGAGAGAAAAGATCTTTAATACCATATCATTTTAAGCGAGGGTCAAGGTTAGTAACACTTTAAGGTCAAGAGAACATGAGTGATAATCATCTGATTTGGCTGAGAAGTGTTAGATAAATTTAATTCGCAATGATTCTGTAAACATTGATTTGCCTGATGCTCAATTACGGAAGAACACTAGAACTAATGTTAGGGTGAACACAATCCTGGTTTCTCTTAATTAACTGAATCAATCTTACAACGAAATAGTCTATTAGTCGTGAATCTGGATTTTGACTGCAAGTTTTGGTAATTATAACATTTGAACCAAACCCAATTTACTTTCCGTTGTTATTTGTTTAGGAGATAATAACAACATTCGAATAAATGCGACAGTGAAACCTTATCTGTAAAGAAATTCTCTGTGGGATCGACCTCAACTCTAGTTGAGTTCTGTAAATTGACATTGACCATTTACACTTCTTATTAGAAGTGAAAGTTTGGACGTATCAGACTGCTCGAAAAATATTAAAAATATTAATTTGTAAACGTTCAAAAAATATAAAAATTAAGAAAAACACTTAAAAACACCTCAAAAAAATTCAGAATCGCACCAGCCATTTTTGAATATCAATACAAATAAAATATCAAAATTTTACATATTTTCGTGACTGACCGAAAAATATCAAAATTTTTAATTCGTAAACGTCCGAATAATAATATAAAAAGACATAAAAACACCTCCAAAAATTCCTGAATCGCACCAGTCACCTTATAATATCGATACTGACCGAAAAATATCAAAATTTTTAATTCGTAAACGTCCGAATAATAATATAAAAAGACATAAAAACACCTCCAAAAATTCCTGAATCGCACCAGTCACCTTATAATATCGATACGAATAGAATATAAATAGTTTACATTTTTTCGGGACTGCCGAAAAATTATCAAAAAAATTAATTCGTAAACGTTTGAAAAATATAAAAATCAAGAAAAACACATAAAAACACCTCAAAAAAAAAATCGAACTGCACCAGTCAACTTAGAATATCGTTACGAATAGGATATCAAAATTTCACATTTTTTCGTGACAGCTCAATACATATAAAAAAAATTAATTCGTAAAGGTCCGAAAAATATAAAAATAAAGAAAAATATATGAAAACACCTCAAAAAATTCCCAAATCGCATCAGTCACCTTAAAATATCAATACGAATAGAATATCAAAATTTTACATTTTTTCTTGACTCATCGAAAATTATAAAAATATTTGATTCGTAAACATCCGAAAATTATAAAAATCAAGAAAAAGACATAAAAGCTCCTAAAAAATTTCTCGAATCCTACCAGTCACCTTAGAATATCCATACGAATAAATTATCAAAATTTTACATTTATTCGTGACTGCCCAAAATTTTAAAAAAAAATTAATTCGTATACGTCGAAAAAATATAAAAATCAAGAAACAGACATAAAATCACCTCAAAAAATTCTGAATCGCACCAGTCACCTTAGAATATCAATACGAAGAAGATATCAAAATTTACATTTTTCGTGACTGACCGAAAAATATCAAAAAATTTAATTCAGAAACGTACGAAAAATATAAAAATAAAGAAAAAGACATAAAAACACCTCAAAAAATTCCAGAATCGCACCAGTCACCTTAGAATATTGATACGAATAGAATATTAAAATTTTAGTTTTTACGTGACAGCCTGAAAAATATCAAAAATATTAATTCATGAACGTCCGAAAAATATTAAAATTAAGAAAAACAGATAAAAACACCTCAAAAATTTTCCGAATCGCACCAGCCACCTTTGAATATCAATACGAATAAAATATCAAAAGTTTTAATTCGTAAACATCCGAAAAGTATAAAAATCAAGAAAAAACATTAAACCACCTCAAAAAAAATTCGAATTGCACCAGTCACCTTAGAATATCGTTACGAATAAGATATCAAAATTCACATTTTTTCGTGATAGCTCAATAAGTATAAAAAAATTTAATTCGTCAACGTCCGAAAAATATAAAAATCAAGAAAAATACATAAAAACACCTCAAAAAATTCCGAAAACACACTCGTCACCTTAGAATATCAATACGAATAAAATATCAAAATTTCACATTTTTTCGTGATCGCCCGAAAAATATCAATTTTTTTAATTCGTAAACGTCCAAAAAACATAAAAATCAAGAAAGAGACATAAAAACACCTCAAAAAACTTCTGAATCGCACCAGTCACCTTAGAATATCGATACGAATAGAATATCAAAATTTTACATTGTTCGTGACTCCCCAAAAGATATCAAAAATTTAATTTGTAAACGTCCGAAAAATATAAAAATCAAGAAAAGGACAAAAAAAAACACCTCAAAAAGTTCCTAAATCGCACCAGTCACCTTAGAAAATCGATACGAGTATAAAATTTCACATTTTTTTGTGACCGCCCGAAAAATATCACAAAATTTTAATTCGTAAACGTCCGAAAAATATAAAGATCAAGAAAAGACGTTAAAAGACCTCAAAAAATTCCCGAATTGCACCACTCACCTTAGAATATCGATACGTAAAATTTCTAATTTTCACATTTTTTTGTGACTGCCTGAAAAATATCAAAAATTTTAATTCGTAAA